CTTGTTTGGGAGCAACCCCAATGCAGCAGGACTTCCTTCAGAGTAAACATGGTTTCCTTTTATTCTTAGATCTTATTTCTATCCCCATCTTTCTATGCCGCAGATACGCTTGCGTAGGATTGCACTGACATTTCCCTTTTGTAACAGTGGCTGCGCAGATCATGGTCCGATGAGAACTAGTAGACCCGATATCCTACAGTCATCCGCTTAATTCCTTCCAGGTGGGATTCTGGCACACTCAGGGCTGTTCATACATTTATAGGGAGAGCAGATGGCCGAGGTGCGCACACCCACTGAGAACAGCTGGCAGCTGTCACAGCAGCAAAATACGGTCCCATTTGATAATGAACTTCCAAAATAATTCACCTCCTGTTGGGAGACCTTGCACTGCACTCTGGCTGTATAAACAAGGAACATTTTAACTGAGAATCTTGCCATCATGAAGGGGAGAGATATTTTTCCCAAAAGAAAAATGATTTAAGCTTATTTTAATGTTAGTAGTTGGTGAAAAAGCAAGGTAAATCTAGAGGGGTGTGTTTTTTAATGTATGGAGCTGGGAATACATTTAACAGACAAGAACCATTGATGTGTCCTGTTTTGTTTTTTAAAAGAGTGCAACAATAAAAATATATAACAAATGTGCATTCTGGAGACTAGGAGGCTAAGAATGTGCCCACAGAGGACCATCGCAATGCACAAAGCACTTTTGCAACTGTCTCCCATTTATTCAAATAGCAACAGTCTAAAGAGGAGGGATGTTGACTTGTCCAAGGTCAAGCAAGTGAGCTTCATGGCTGGGTAGAGATTAAAAGCTAGCTTTCCCCTCTCAAAACCCAGGGTGCCATATTTCATAGCCCATATTGATCTGAAGGACATCAACTTCTCTTACATCTGCAACTCCCTATTGATGCGAGGGTTACTTCCAAGGCACTACACTTATATCTGAATTGTGTGTATATTTGAATTGTTTATATTTGAAACACCATTGAAAAAGCCTGCGAACACCTTCTGAACCCTTAAAAACCCCTGTAAAAAACAACAATGAGCAGCCAAACTCTGCCAAACTCCACCACAATTGCTCCCTCCAAACCTTCTTGCTCAAACTCCCAGATCTCCACAGGTCTCAAGAGTTGGTGCAAGGGCTCCTGGGATTGCTAGATGCTGTTTTTGCACCTTTTTTGCCTTTCTGGGCTCTTTTAGGGCTGTTTTTGCCATTGTTATAGTCACCTCTGGGTTCAGCGTGATGCAGCTGTACACAACCGCATATCAATTGACTGTTGCCTATACTTACTTCTGAGCGGACATGCACAGAATCAGGCATTTAGCTGTTAAGTCACACCAAGAGGTGACGAGCCTAACATTGCCCTCGGTCATATTGCCACCTTTTCTTCATCTCCTCTCCTGGAAATACAGTACAAAGATATTCAAAACAAATGCTTCATGTTGTGGTGGCCACTCATCGTAGAACAAATTAGCTCTATTTTATTTTTGTTCCCCCTCATTTCTTGATGTATCCTGAATAAATACAGCTGGCCATACCATAAGAAAATAAGACATTGTGGATCATTTCCCTAATCCATTTTTTCCCCTCCAGCTTATGCAAGTCAATTTATTCAAAGGATCTGCCATCAATATGCAAAAGAAGAAGAAGAAGAAGAGCAGATTTTCTTGGATGACCTACTGAGATAATAATGTACTCAACATATCTCTCAGATCCAACTGAAGTGACAAGTTTCTGTAGCATTAATCCTTCAGGGGATGTGGTTTGGAACGAGATCAGAGCGAAAAAAGGAGAAAACTTTGCTGTAGGTTAAGGATATGTTTTCATTTAAAAAGATGTCAGTCAGGTTAATTCACTCTATCACTTAACCGAATTAAAGGAACACCGAAGATGTTGAACACACATTTTTAACTAGGGTTGCCCTGAATAATTCATGCAATGCTTGCTGGAAAACAACCAACAGGCACTGCACAGCTCTGAGTCCATGAAAACAGAAAAAGGGATTGTGGGAGGGAGAAACCACTTAGAAATATTATGTTGTCAAGCGGAAAACTATATGTTTACGCTTTCTAAACCACGGCTATGTGTTTAATCTTCGAACTTTGAAACGCAACATGTAAAAAAAAAAGCAAAATAAGGAAAAACAGCTTTGTGCTTTGTGCATCTGTAGAATGTGCTACTAGGCCCTTTGAGGCCTAGCTGTAGTTTGCCTTTTTATGTTTATAAAACTCTTGCAAAATGCATTTTACGCCATATGAGGGAACTCAGCAAAGCAAGTTCCCACTTATAATTTGTTTCTAAGCAATGAACATGTTACAATTAGCTGCTCCAGTTGCAGGATGCTGGTTTGTGAGGGAAGTAAAATTCTTAAAATACAGCTTGTGTTGTGGTTTCAAACAAACTCGAGGGTTGGCTGGCCAAGCATTTTATTACTTCATTATTGTTATTACATGTATATTGCACATTTCCCTCGAAGAGCTCAAGGGGACCTATATAATTCCCGCCCCCCTCTTCACAACAACAACTTTGTGAGGTAGGTTAGGCTGAAAGACAGTGACTTTGCTATGCAATACTATAGCAAAGGTATTACACACGCAAACACACACAGTAGCAGAAGAAAGGGGGGGGGGAACCTGTTGACTATTTCTACTTGGTATTCCCCACTTTCAAAAAAGAATGCACAATGTTAAAATTATGCATCCAGGGAATCCAAATTCAGTGCAAACCGAATCAGTATGCTTACGAAGATTGGTCTTGTTTACATATTTTATTTATTTTGCATAATTTATACCCTTTTGTATATTTCATTCTGCTTTTCCTAATCACGGAAACAGGCCTGGAGCTTGACAAGACACGGCAGCCTCAACTCACTCAGAGGAATCCTTATTTAGCGTTCTGACTAATTAGATTTTTATCCCCATACTTCCAAGCGTGTCTTCCTACTCTTAATGGCTAGAATTCTGGTTTATTTATTTTTATGGAAACGGGATCGAGCACCCTTTCTACACCCCCTCCAATCAACTTTGCAGCATTCATGGCTGCATTTTAAGAACAACAGACAGGCACCAGTATCAGAAAGCTGATTCCTGTCTCCTGCTTCTCATCTAATTTGGCCCACGTTGTGTGTTTCTATGGAATCAGGGCATTGACACAGCTCTGCCAATACTCTCGGTTGCCCTGATGACGAGTGGCTGATTTTATCAAGCCTGCCATTTTGAATGCCATTTCCACGCTTGATGTAAGTTACTGAGGCATTTTTGGAAAGGCCTACATTCGCGAGCTCCTTTCATCACAGGACTCAGCTATACAGTAAATGTAAAGTGTAATATACAAATGCGACACTAGATGGTGACACAGAGCTATGCAAAATTCAATGTGTTTTTCAAAACATTTTTTTAAAAAAGCATTTTTACAGCGTTTTTTTGTATGTGTGTAGTTTCCACCACAGTTCTCTCTATATGTTGAGTGATGGAAATGAGGGAGAACAAGCCATTAATTAATATTATTTATTTGAGAAGCACGCAGAATCAAACTGAATTGTTCGTTTATTTAGAAGAAAATCCCATGCCTCATGTCTATTTTAAGAACACAGTCTTTCTGTCAGGGAGCAGGGAGACATGGCTACCAGAGAGGAGCCATGACAGACTTTAGAAAATAAGTAAGCTTCAAATTCACGGGAGTACCTCCAGAAAAAAAGCACCTATTATCTGACTGGCAAAGGCAAAAGCCAGACAGAATAGAAAAGTCTTCACTAGCTGGTGGAAAACAGTAAAGGGTGGTTGGGGGGCGAGCAGCCAAACTTCATAGAGCAAGTCGCTCTGCATTTTGGGTGCCCTCCTTCAATGTGTTGCCTCTGTTTCTTCTAGGTGGGATGCAATGGCCTTTCTACCAGGGGCAGGAAGCAGGCTGACAAGGAAGGTGGCAGTCCTTTAAGTATTATGGAACCAAGCCGCTTAGGGCTTTAAAGGTAATTAAGGTAAAGTAAAGGGACCCCTGACCATTAGGTCCAGTCAACGCTCATCTCACTTTACTGGCCGAGGGAGCCAGCGTACAGCTTCCAGGTCATGCGGCCAGCATGACTAAGCTGCTTCTGGCGAACCAGAGCAGCGCATGGAAACGCCGTTTACCTTCCCGCCGGAGCGGTACCTATTTATCTACTTGCACTTTGACGTGCTTTTGAACTGCTAGGTTGACAGGAGCAGGGACCGAGCAACAGGAGCTCACCCCGTCACGGGGATTCGAACCGCCAACCTTCCAATTGGCAAGTCCTAGGCTCTGTGGTTTAACCCACAGCGCCACCCGCATCCCACTGCTTTAAATTGTGCCTGGAAACCAGAGCAGCTGATGCAGGATAAGCACCCTGTGGTCTTTGCCACCTCACTGCAGCCCAAATGCGGCTTCTGAAATGCTCAGTTGTTGCTTTCGTATCTCTGTAGATGATTGCGTGCTTTGTTGTGCTATATAGGGGAGAAGAACAGACAGAAACTTTGACTCGCAGATAAAGGGAACAACAGGCTCAATGGAGTTTTCAGTGTACAGATACAGCTCTCCAGTGATAACCTTTGCCCAACTTAAGGAGAACACAGAAGAGATCCAAAGTGAAATTGCTTGACTCTTGGCCATGAGTTGGCAAACTAAGTCCCGGGGGCTGGATCTGGCCCAATTGTCTTCTAAATCCGGCCCGCGGACGGTCCAGGAATCAGCGTGTTTTACATGAGTAGAATGTGTCCTTTTATTTAAAATGCATCTCTGGGTTATTTGTGGGGTCTGCCTGGTGTTTTTACATGAGTAGAATGTGTGCTTTTATGTAAAATGCATCTCTGGGTTATTTGTGGGGCATAGGAATTCATTTATTTTCCCCACCCCCAATATAGTCTGGCCCCCCACAAGGTCTGAGGGACAGTGAACTGGCCCCCTGCTGAAAAAGTTTGCTGACCCCTGCTCTTGGCAGTCATAGAGAAAGCTATTAACAACAGAAGCAGGGCTGAGATGTGGGAAGGGCTACGGCTCAGTGGCAGAGTCTATGTTTTGGGTGCATAAGGATGCCAGGTTCGATCCCTGACATCACCAGGTATGGACCCTTGCCTGAAATCCTAAAGAACTGCTGCCAGTTAGTGTAAACCGCACTTCGCTTAATAGGGACTGATGGTTTGACTCCATAAAGAGAGGATCCTACATTCTCATGATGAGCAACCACTGTGCACCTAGTACATAACCTCAAACCTTTCTCCGATGGAAATAGGGACATACTCTATAATAATAATACCCTGCCCATCTAACTGGGTTGCCCCAGCCACTCTAGGAAGCACCCACCATATAAAAACATAAAACATAGAGTGGTAGTTAGAACTGACAGAATATGCCAAATGGGCAAATTTAACGATGAAAATCAGAGACCAAGCAAGGGCAGATTTTAAGGAGGAGTGGAAACCTTGTGTTGAATATTTAAAGAATTGTTGTAAACCTGCAACAACACAGGTAGGATTTGAATGAAGATCAGCAGTTGAATACTGTGGAGAAGATGGCTTATGGAATAACTATAATAAGCAGCAACAGTGGAAATTATGAGGGAAACCATGGAAGGTAGAGCTGGAAGTTAAATGTGAAATGAACGTGAAGTGGGAAAGCATGTATTAATTTGTAAACCTTTGAAATTCAGAAACCAAAACTATAAGAAAAAGAAAAGAAACTGGGGTGACTTCTGTAAATCCGGGATTGTTCCTGGAAAATAGAGACACTTGGAGGGTCTGCTAGTAGGCCGCAGGATGCCACCAGGTGTCATCTTTCTGAGGGCTTCCCAAAATCCAGAGATCGCTCTTAAACTGGAATATGATGCCACCAGGAGCTGGTGCCATGGTCAGGAGGGCCCTACACACCTCTGGTGTGGTTTGGTCATCCTAGCCCCTGCAATTGAGGATCTCCCACTGCTAGGGTGACATTTGAAAGACCCTTATGTGGAATCTCTTTCTGTGTTCTTTCACTTGACTGTCTCAACACACCTCCAGCTAATGATGGTGCTAGCAAATGAGTGGTATGTTTGTGGGATGAGCAAAGATCCCTGGCAAGCAGGGAGAGATAAATAATAGAAGGGCTTCCTAGGGTTTTATTTCTGCTCTAAAAACAGCAGTATATTTTTCTGTCCCTTGCATGGCAGGGCTCTCCTGACTTCAGTGGAAGCTGTTTCCATGCAGAGCTATAACTCTTAAGCTGGAAAAAAAGAAAAGAAATAGCCTGATATGAATATGGCACGTTCGATAATGTGCAGAACTAATATGCGTCTTTCATTTGAACAAAGACAAGCAATGCAGAATTCCCAGGGCACCACTCTGAATACCCCCCAGGTAGAGATGTAATGGAAGAAATAGGAGTTGGGCAATTACTTTTCACTCTCCTGCTTCCTCAAAGAGGACCTGATGGGAGACATTTAGAAGTATTAATTTCTGACAGCAGGCAGGGAGCCAGAGGTCAAAGGGCAAATTCTTTTCACCATGACACATTCAGGAGCATTCAATTTACCTTTGTCATCTCCATCTCAAGTAGTCCATGCACAAGAATGGAAACAAAGCACATAACCGGAAAGCAAAACAAGCAATTGACGTCAGCTCCTGCTCTGAAATAAAATGTGAACAGGCACGGAAAGTTTCGAATATCAGCAGAAGAATCAAATGTTATACAAGAGTAACCATCTTTCCTTTAAATATATGCATTTGCCTTCAGCTCTATTTTCTCTTGCATGCCAGAATAAATAGATTTGGTGCTTTTAAGAGTGCAGTTAGAAATTCACAATATATTGGTTTCTTTTATTTCCATACTGTCAGACTTATTCGCCTTAGGCAATGTACAAAAGCAATGCATTCAAATGTTGAAAATGCATTCAGATGTTGAAAAACAGCACATAAAATATTGCAAGGCCAGGGCTTTGTTCTAATAGCAGTGAGATATGGCAGTAAACCACATCAGGCTGCAGGTGGAATATTCCTTCAAAATAAATAAAAATTCTGCACATAGAAAACAAGATTCTCCTTTCAGTTGTTCACATTCTGTGAGACTGCATGGAAGAGAAGAGAAAGGCTATGCATGCTCACTGAATGCCTGAAGTACTAGGGCAGAGCTGAAACGTCACCTCAGATTTACTAGCCTTATTCACAGTGTGTGTATGAAATTTGGGAGGAATGTGAAGATGCATTATGGCGGTTTATGGGGGGGATTATGTGAAAGTTTAAGATTGGGCAGCACCATCTTTCCCCCCTCACAATTCTCCTCTGAACACTGCTATGTGATGACATCACATCGTTGTGTACCGTATTTTTCGCTCCATAGGGCGCACCGGACCATAGGGCGCACCTAGTTTTTAGGGGGGGAAATAAAGACTCCTCTGCCGCTTGCCACCAGATGAAGCGACTCTAGGCACCAGGAGAACCTCCTCTGAAGACTGGACACTGAGCGCCTCCCTTGAAGGGGCCAACCGAACCTGCACAGAACTAAAAACATGTGAGGAGCTTGGATGGAAGAAATTTTCCCCTTCCACATGCTGTGCAAGTTGAGGCCCTGAGCTCCCAGACCCTGGGGGTGCTGACTGCGAACGAGGCAGTATATATAGGGTATATATAGGTCCCTCGAACCGTTTAGACTGCGTCCCATTGGCCAGAGTGAACCCAATATCGAGGGACCTACCAATTGTGGCTGACCAATCTTACCCACCCACAACATAGGTGGTCGGCCTTCAGGTCTCACTGCAACATGTGAGGACACGATTCGGCCATGCTAACTAGATAGCAGTGGCATAGCATGGAGGGGAAAGGACACAGGGGAAGTTGCCCTGGGCACAAAATTTCAACACCCAATGCGGCCTCAATTCAGCTGCGCACTTCCATTCCTGGGTTCCACTGAAAATGACTTCCCCATGAAAACCAGGAAGTGACTTCTCCAGACAACAGAACAACTCTTCTTTTCTTATCTCAATGACTGCAATTTCTTGGGTGATGTGGACACCATCAGGAGTTGAATGCACATGCATACTCCCTCTGTGTGAGTAGGCGTTGTCCCGTTTCCTATCACAGCTAGGCTTAAAGGTAAAGGTAAAGGGACCCCTGACCATTAGGTCCAGTCGCGGACGACTGGGATTGCGTGTTCATCTTGCTCTATAGGCCGAGGGAGCGGGCATTTGTCCACAGACAGCTTCTGAGTCATGTGGCCAGCATGACTAAGCCGCTTTTGACGAACAGAGCAGTGCACGGAAATGCTGTTTACTTTCCTGCCGGAGTGGTACCTATTTATCTACTTGCACTTTGATGTGCTTTCGAACTGCTAGGTTGACAGGAGCAGGGACCGAGCAACGGGAGCTCACCCCGTCGCGGGGATTCAAATCACCAACCTTCTGGTCAGCAAGCCCTAGGCACTGTGGTTTAACACCAATAGCACTTGCATGACTACACTCCATATTACAGTCGCATTTCAAACTTTTACTGTGTTTTCAGGAGATATGTGGCATTTTCCTAGCTACAAGTATATAGAACTTTAATAGCTAAGAAAATGCTTCCCAAGCATAATGCATGCCAACATTGTACTATAAATGGGGAATTAAGGTGCAATTACTATTTTAAAAAGATTGTGTGGAAAGAAGACACATGCTATGCTTTTGTTCTCTTGAATTTTTATAATATCTTGAAGCCAAAGAAGGTATCCATTAGATACTAATAAATGTATTCTGTAATGTATACAATTCACCTCATGCTGTATGCATTCTATTTTTTTAACAGTTTGGTAAGACTCAATTGCACAATTTAGAAGAAAATTAAATATTTTGAAGGATCCTAGCACTAGCAGACAATAGTGCTACAAATTTAAATAATAAAAACAAATTTATTATATGGTTGCAGACCTCAAAGTACGAAACCTCGAAATCATGCAGTTTTTTTCATGCATGGTGTGTGTAATATAAAATATAAAATATATAAACTCAGAACAGAAATCAACCAAGATACCATCGAATTAGCAAAATCTCTTTAAGGGTTTGAAAAAACTTTTTTCATTTGTAAATTATAACAAAAAGGGGGGAAATTACATAAAAAGAAAAGAAAATAACCCTCAAAGCACTAAAATCATTTGCAACCTAAGATCCAGCAGGAGTCAACAAACATTTACAATATTTTTCACACAAATGGCCATTTAAATAAATTTAAATAAATTCACATTCACATTAAATAAATTTATAAATTCCATTGTATGAATTCACATACAATGGAAACAATAAAGGAACGAAGAGTTGGCACCATTATTTCCCTTGCTTCCCAATTACTGGTAGTCCAACAGAAATATAATGAGCACATGTCCGCTTAAACATATTTTCATAAAATCCACACTTTGGAATAAGCAGGAGGGACCATATAGCCACAGGCTTCTTCATTTGTAAATAAAATAAAATAAAAGCATGCCATATTGGAAAAGACTCTTGCTACTTCCAGCTCATGAGAAAACTTTCATAGAAGAGCAGTGTGCCAGATTTTTCAAGACCAATAATCTAAGTTGAGAAAAGACGCATGTGCGCTCTCACCTGGCTGGTGGTTCAGCACACAGAAAGTCCCCAAGGCTAAGGAGACGCCAAGCTCCTTCTTCTTAAAGAAAGCCAGGGAGCTGCAATTTCCCATCATCTGCTTTCACCTCTCATATAATCTAGTAACCAAGTGCGAGGGCAGGCAAGGAGCCAGAAAACCTCTGCTTTCTTTTACATTTGCTTCAATCAGTAACAGCTTTTTCAATCTGCCCTATGGTTGACTTAAAAGGGGGCCCAATCCTCTGAGATGCCAAGGACATCGGTGGCCAAGTTCTGCCAGCTAACAACATCACAGGAAAACGTGGTCAAGACAATTTAACCATGCACAGAATTCAATTTGACTGTAAACATTGCACCTTTTGAAAGCCGTCTGGGCACCGCTCCATCCACAACCTCCTCCTTTCATACTGAGACACCCTGTTATGTTTGTTTTCCTTTCGAAAGGTGAGACTTAATTGGGGCAAAAGGCATGGCAGTAGTACCCAGACAACATACCATTGTCTGAAGAAGACTTTCA